GTTGTCATGTAGGCACCTCAAGCTCTTCAGGTCCTAAAATATATCAGCATCTCCCCACCAAATCTCCATCTGCTATGTCCTGGTCCCATTGAATAGAGTCACCATCCACTTGGTCATCTGAGCTGAAACAACAGAAACTCTCTACTTACTACTCTCCTTCTCCAACCCCTTTTCCTCCCAGTGAGTGGTGAGATCTACCTCAGAAATGTTGCCTTTTCTTCCCACAACCTCAGACTTAATCCAGCTCTCTGTCTCCTCCCCCACACATTATTATGATGACTCCCCCAATGACTTGTCTATCTGCCACTAATTCCAAAGTGTCTATCATGCTGCTGCCAGAGATACTTTCTTATAAAACAAATGTAATCAAACACTCTTTACAGAGTGAAATCGAAGCTCCTTATTTTGGCATTTAAGACGTTGTTTACTATTGCATCCCAAACTACCCTTGCAGGCTTACCTCCTGCCCCTCCTTCATTGAACCTCACCATTCCCCAAACACTGGGCCTTTTCCCGGCTTCATGAGACCCCAGAGATACAAAAGATGAGCTGACACAATCCAAAAAGGTCTAAAAGATACAGAATCACACACGTCAGTGGGACCATTCGGAGCTCTTTACAGTCTCCTTTATCTGAAACGCTCTGTGCCCGTCTGCCTAGTACAGGGCCACTCACTGACACCTTATTTGGCAGTGCCCTCCCCAGGCAGCCTGGTCAGTGCTTCATCTCAGGAGCTGCCACACTTCTTTGTTCATAATTCTCTTACAGCATTTACCTCATTCTGCTCGAAATGACTTTTGCATATATTTGCTCCTCAAAGGCAGCAGCTGTACCTGGTCTTCCTTTCTTCCCAGTATATGACATAGTTCCTGTCACATAGTCATTGAACAGGTGTTGAAGACGTGAACTCAGTGTGCTCCTCCACTGCAGTTAGGGCGATTAATCCAGATGCGGTGGGCTGCAAAGATCACTGGACTGGGATTCAGGAGACCCATGTCCCAGGTCCAGCTCTACAACTAGATATGTGACCTTGGATGAGTCATTCAGTCTCCTTTATTAAAGAAGGGGGTTGGACTTAATGATCTCTAAGACCCCTTCCAACTTTAAGTTCTATGATTCTGACCCCATTTCTTGGATTGGGAAACACATTTCCTCCCTCATAATGTTCAGGAGCCTCAACTTAGCCTGTCAGACGTTCACATTTCCCAAACAAAGTTTTCAAACACTTCGAAATTGTCTACTGGAGCTAGCCAGAGCTCTTCATCAGGCTCCTGTTTTCTTATCCATTGACCACTGAGCTGTTCTCACTCCTTCCCAGGAGGCTTCACTGTGTCTGTAACACCGTTACACTACTGTGTGACTGCCCCTCCCCAGGAGGGAGCCCTTCTTTCTCCTAGCCTAAGGGACAACTGTGAGGAGGGAGTCATTTCCCTTCCATGCAAATCTCAGCAACATTCTAGCTGCTGCCATGTGGGTTTTTGGTTATGGACATGTTTTTGGGGGGTGATGCCCATTTCTGTGATAAATAAGTTTTAAGCAGTTCATAGGGGCTCTTCAAGGCCGCTCCTAAGTACACTGCTGACCTTTTTAGGGATGGGAGGACTGGAGTTAGCAACTCAACAGGTACATTCACCATAATCTCCATGTAATAAATAAAAGCCTATGAAAAGATTAAATAAATCTTTCCTAATGCTTTTTGATTGGCTTAATCAATAATTAATCATCTTTAGATGAGGCTGTAACTTGTGGAGTAGATATAATTGGATTAGCTGAAAAGCGGCCATTGGGGAGCTTTGAAGAGATTAAAATGGCTGTCAATCCCATAATTAAACTGCCACAAACAAAAGCAATGGTGTTTTTTAAAAAGGAGGAGGAGGAGGAGGAAAGAAAGAGTGAAAGAGAGAGAGAGAAGGAAAGAAAAGTCGGGGAGAGAGTTGGGGAAGGCCAACTAATTTGAAATGAATCAACAAGTACTTACGTATCACTTAGAGATTGAGGCAAAATCAAAACCGATAGATTTATTCCATTGAATGAAGTGTATGCATATCAAATCAGCCATTTAATTGTATGCTCCAACCACTGGAGCAGGTGAAATTTTGATAGCTTCAACTTCTCTAAAACAAAACCAATCCACAAACGGAAAAAAAAGAAAAGTTAATTATTCAAAACAGAAGAGACCTGCTCCTTGTCCTGAGCCCATTTAGACCTTGACTTTTCATACTTTTAATTGGCTTAGTAGGTTTGGCCTGTGTGAATGAAGTCTTTTATCTCCTCTTTTTCTTTCCATGCCCCTTTCATCTTTCCTATTACAAACACACAGAGAGAGCTGAAGGGAAAATACTTTGGTTTTTAAAGACTTTTCTTTTTAAAAGGTTGTGGATTTGGGCGGGGGGGGAGGGGTGTGTGTGTGATGCTGGTGAATACTTTTTTTCTCTCTCTCTTTTATCTCTTTTTCTAGAGAGGAGTTGCTTAAACCAATGGGACTAAAACCTGATGGGACAATAACGCCTTTGGAGGAAGCACTCAACCAGTATTCTGTCATCGAAGAGACCAGCTCTGACACAGACTAAAAGCATCACCTGCTCAACTCTCAATATTGCTTTATCAGCATCTTTTCTCTGTAGCTCCAGGGGAATCTTTTCTCTAAAACATTTATGCCCTTGCTTTGGCTAGAAACACATTAACTGGTTTACTCATTGAGAATCCAGCATATTTAAGAGGTGACCCTGTGTTTTTTGCGATATTGAGGTATTCATACAGAGCTGCAGTTAGACAGGGTTACAGGGGCTAGAAGCAGAAAAAAAATTCCATTTCATCAGGATGGAATTGAAGGATTTTATTCTACAAAGCGGCCCTGGTTGAATCTGGCAATTCTTTTTGCCAAGCTTCTTAGCAGAAGATTTAGCCATGTCCTTCCCCTCACTTGTGTGAGTGGCCCCTTCTGAATCTCTCCAGCAGCCAGAGGCACATGAGAAACAGAATGAGCTGGTAAATAAAGCCTTGGGCAATCGACTTCTTAGATCAGAACTCACCAAATGGAAGCCTAGCAGCTGCTCCATAAACCTAGCCCCATTCTTCATATCAATTTTGTATAAATATATGGAAACACACACACAGCCTCAGACTTACAAACTGATTATACTCTAAAAGTTTGTATGTCACTTAGCTAAAACTTCAGAATACATTTCTCCCTATAAAGAGTTATAAATGATGGTTTAGTTCTCAGGCAGCTACAAATGCCTATTTATTCCCTAATGTACCTGAACACTAGTACCATAGAACTGAACCACCATCTGTATCAGTGCATGGGGAGTGTGCATTCTGAGGTCTAACCCGGGGTGCCAGGAACACACACATCCTCCATCCCAGCAGAGAGAATGGGGACCCCCTGAGTAATGGGAGTTCTTTCGTGGCCTCTGCTTGGGGTGGGGGAGTCAGCAGCACCCATTTGTACATATAGGTCATTCATACATCACGTTTTAAATTGGGAACTGTGTGTGTGCTGGTGTGTGTGTGTGTTCTACGTTTCTACCATATGTGATCAGTTTAATAGTAACTTTATTTATTTAAGAAAAAGAAACACAATTAGTTACTGTTAAACTGATAAAGGCTGTTTATTTTTACTTTTAGAATTGGTCCTATGGAGAAGGAGAAAGTGAGTCATGCACTAGACAGTGGGCCTAGCTCATCAGCGGCTAAAGTTGAAAAGGGGTTGGTTTCCTGTATATATATGTATGTATATACACACGTACATACATTCATATATATACATATATACATAATGTGCTTAACCACTGCCTTTTAAAACTTTAAATAAAACATTGGGGTTGATTCAATTTGGCCATCTGTGTGTGTTTCTTTATAGATACATGGGCTAAACAATACTATTTCACAGTTTATGCTTTTTAAAGTGCTTTTACATCCATTGTCCCACTTCTAATAGCCTTTTTAAGGACAGGTAAAGTACATGGAGTATTATGAAAAGGTCATTTATCCAGAAGTTACCTCTCTGGCAAAGCAAAAAACTCGGGAATTGAGTTGTAAAAGGCCTTTCAGCTGCCAGAAGAGATGTCACAAAGCTTCTTGCGACTTACTTGTGGGAGAGATCTTCAGGAATATCACTCTTAGACTTTGAACTGAAATTTGCATACGCTTCCAACATGTTTTATTAGCTGGCTTTGAAGCTCACAAAAAATGGCAAAGAAAGAGGCTGCTAGATTGAAGGCAGGCATACTGAAAGAAGAAAAAGGCCAACTGAAAACCAGATAGATGAGAAGAATAAAACTTCAAGACGTAGCAAATCTGGGACTATCTCCTTACCAAAGGATACTCTAGTTGGCCCCGAAAATGTGTGTATTAACAATATGGCCCATAGACTAAATCTCATATTGGTGACCCTGAGTTTTTTTAAAAGAAGAAATTAAATCCAGAATGCTTTATAAAAGGCTAGGAAGAAGGCAATACATGTTAGAATTTCATCCAAAATATTTGAGGAGAGGTGAGTGACCCAGGTTTTAACCAACAGCAAAAGAAATGGGCAATTCATAATTTTAGATTAAGTGAAAAAAAGTTTAGAAAAAATTCAAGTATTTTTGTTATTTCATTCTACAAATGCATTTTTAAAGTATTTTTATAATTTCTATAATCAAATAGCTTTGGCATGCATGTCAGCTTAACGAACTGAAGATGTGTTTAATGAAATGCCATCTTACCAGCTTTCTTTATGCAGAGTAAGTGTGTGAACAGTCCTGTTTCAGTAGCTGTGCTCTTCTGCTTTCAGTGAATTCTGTTTCATTTTGCATTTCTCTGCATTGGGCACCAAGCTTTGTTTTTAAAAAGAGAGAATTTGCGGGGAAGAAGATGAGTGTCTTCGTGTGGCACACGGAAAAAGAACTAATATCTATTAAGTGCTTACTATATGCTGGGCTTTTTATGTATGTTATCTCGTGTAACCTCACCTTATCACATATGAAAGATCCTCTCCAGAAAGCTTGTGAAAGTTACCCCACATCACAGCAAGGAAGAGTCCAACCCTGGTGGCCTGATTCCCAGCACCGCTCCTTCCTTTTCCCCACAGTACACTTGGGCCCACACTGTGCCTCCTTAGGGCTCTGAAATGCTGGGAACAGAGTGGGGTGAGGAGGGTGGTCATTCTCAGGCCATTTTAAGCAATAACTATTTCAACAGAACTAGTTTAAAGAAGTTTTTAAGCAGGGAAGTGACCTGGAGTGGAAGTATGAGTGGGAAACTTGTGTGGTCAGCACTGGATTTCCAATGAAGACCTGGAATCCCTTAGGATAGGCCAGGGACCAAGGCTGCAGACTGGCCCCTCTGCCCACAACTCTCCTGACCTTGGAAGCAGGGTACGGAGGTGTGCGTCCTAAAATAAAGCACTGGAGCTGCTGCTACAGAGGAAGCATCACCAGATATTGTAACCCTTTCGGATGCCCAGTAGTCCTGGGAGGCAGGCAGGGCAGGTGTTATTATCTCTCCTTAATAAATGAGGACACAGACTGAGGCAGTACTAGTGACTCTAAACACCCCCTTAGTGCCACATCAGTCTCGCCACCTCCCAGGACTAGGTGTCACGTGTCTTGACCTCTTCCCCTCTGATTATAAAAGTAATATATGTTCATTGTGGAAAGTTTGGAAAATGCAGAAAATTAATAATTTACCCCAAATCCCACCAAACTGAGATCATCACTGTTAATGTTTTAGTGTATTTCCTTCCTGTATTTTTTCTATGCATATATAATTTATTTTACTACAAGATTGGGATCATGCTGTATTTACAGATTTGTATCCTGCTTTCTTTAACATATTGTGAGCATTTTCCCATGTCAATAAATATTCTTCAAAAAGTAATGGCTATATGATATTCCATTATGTGAATTGTGGCAGACACTGCTAGTTTCCTTCCCAATATTCTTTCTAACAGAAGACATCATGACCACCACACCCATCAAAAAAAAAAAATTTAAAAAGGTGGTGCCTGTTGGCTTTCTAGAAGGCAGCGTGAGTTGTTAGTGCTGAAGAGCAGCAGGAACTAGGGGTGGCACCAGGAGGAGCAGACTTGCTCTGCCAGACAGCACCAGTCTCACGGAAGCCTCAGCAGCACAAGTCAGAACAGTTAGAGTAAGTGCCCAGATAACTAGTTTTTGTCAAGAAGAGTTATTTGAAGGGAGCAAGGGTGCCAGGTGACTTAGAAAAGTGCATTAAAAAAAAGACATCAACCATGTTTAGTGTTTAGTCAGTTATTGGCATTAATTTTTTTTGGAGATATTCACTGCAGTTTCAGAAGTGGAGAGCACACAGGGATGGGGAGTGATGTGTGACTCTCAGGAAAAGCAAAGTAACACGTGTCAATAGTTGTGTGATAAGCACAATATGGAGAACAAAGTGTTCAAGGAACAAATTACAGGTGAGGAAGGGAGGTATTTGTAGCAACTATGAGAAGGTTTAAGGAGAGGGAGAGGTTTCTAGAGAAGACTTTAAAGTGATGTGACTCTGATGCACTGTGTTGAGTCTCTGCACCAGGTCTAAGAAACATCAAAGAGTATCAGAGCAGCCTTTCTTAAAGCACAGGGGACTGGAGATAGTGAAGCCTACATGCCCTGAATTGTAGACAATGAACATACTCTCCATGCGTCTAGAACGGTGTAAGCGATGTAACGTTCTGAGAACTGAGAAAATAGTCACTCCAGTCGCTTTCTGTGTTCTGTGGTCCAGATGAACCCTGGTTGAGAAAGGCTGTTCTAAGAGAAGAGATCAAAATTATTCTGCAAGGCTTCTGGAGTCAGATTTGCATTTTCTTTTAGTGCAGCACAGTGAAGATCCTAAGCCCCACCCTGCAGCGATATCCAGATCTCAGAGACCTCTACCTTTTCTGCACTGAACTTCACAATAAGAGCTGCAAATATTTGTTGAGCAATCACTGTGCCACACACTTGAAGTTAGACTGTGCACTAACATGCACTAATATGCACAGCCTAACTTCATAACAATCTTGAGAAGTAAGCACTGTTATAATAGCTTCCATCCACTTTTCAGACATAAAGGTGTGAAGCACTGTGTGCAAGCACACAGCCCTCTCTATTTGCTTATCAGTTGATGCACATAGCAAAATTTGAACTCAAGCCTGATGCCAGAGTCCATATAAATACTATGGGACCATATAAATACTATGGGAAAAACAGAATCGGGAAAGCAACACATTTTTCTTATTTCATTTCCATATCTCACACATTTCTTATCTAGCTCCCATTTGGGAACTAGTCTCAAACCTATACTCCCCAGCACACCAATCCATCTCAATTTGTTCAATTAACATTGATCGAGCATCGACTATGTCCCGGGTACTCGTCAGTGTGCTGGGGTGTACAAACATAACTGAAAGATCCTGTCCCCTAAGTGCCCACAGTGTACGAAGTCCAGAACCAAAGTCTGTGCTAAGTGTTACAGGATGCCGGGCTGAGGTGTGGCTAATGCTGACCAGGAGGATCGCAGGGGTGAGTAACAAAGTTCTGTAGGTAACATACACGTTTTCCATCTACTAGAAAAAGGCTGTTGCTACCAAAGAACTGGGTCAAACCCAAGCTCCTGGGCAAAAGGTTTACAGAACACAAGTTGTTGAGTGTGATGGAAACAGCTATCCCATGCCTCATGGCTGGACACATGAGCAGCAGCCTTTCGGACATGAAAAGGACCCCACCAGGAAGAGCACTCTGGCTGCCGTATAGAGAGTGGATTGGTGAAGGGACAGACAGAAGAGACCAGACAGAAAGCTGTTGCCTCTACATGGGAGGGGCAAGTAGGGCCTGGACTAGAACACTGGCAGTAGATGTAAAGAAGGGAATGGATTCAAGAAATATTTCAAAGATAAAAGAAACACACTTAGATCCTGGAGAAAGGCAAGAAAGAGCTCATTTAACTCATGGGAATGAGAATGTTCAGAGAAAAGATCATCTGAACCATTGGCTCCCAACCTGTGAACTAAACAACTCTGGGTTTGGGAGCAGGACAGTGGGGCTGAGAGTTATTTCAAGGAGTCTGCAAATGTGTATGGTCAGTAAGCATCATTTATATACCAAATAATGCCTTGGACATGCAAGGACTCCTATTGTACAAATACTTTATGTATACATATTGACATGATAAAAGCTCATTTGTATAAGTTACTACTGCATTCTTAGTATCCTTTTGCCCATCTGTATTTTCTCAGTTAAAACATGATAAGCCACTATTATGTGAAAGGAGACCCTGGAAAGTTCAGGCTTTAGAAAAATAAATTCTCATAATTTAAAAAACGTAACTCTTAGTAACAAGTATCAGAAACTCAAAATGCACCTGCTTAGTAATGGAAGAACATGCATCTTTTGTAAAGAAAAGAGGAGAGGAGCAACCAAGCTGTGGAAAGAATGGAGCGGGGTCGCAGGCACGGCTGAGACCTGAGTCTTACTACAGGAGGAGGTAAAGGGATTTATCAAATCCATGCTCAGTGATGTCATGATGGGAACTTGAAGTCAACTGTGGTGGTAATGTTGACACCATGTGAATCAGCAAACACCACAAATTAGAGCTTGTATTCTCCTGGAGAGCCAATTAAACATTTACCAGCAGTCACTGTAATATACGCTGCAGATCCCCAGAATGGCTTAGGAATCAGAGATACCAGTAACATCTGCAAATAAGGGTGTGGGTGGGCTTTAAAAACAGGCAAATTCCACACTCCCACCGGCCCCTTCCACACACACTCGCAAGTGTGTGCATACAACCAGGTGACTCCTAACCCACCTCCCCAGCATAAGCCAGGAGTTTCCCTGAGGAAGTTAATTCAAAAGGCTCTAGACCCCCGGACTCAGGCATAGAAGAAGACAGGGGTAGCTTACTGAAAACAAAAGAATCTGGTAAGAGACCTCACATTGAAGCACTGGATCTTCAGCCTCCTTCCCTAGTCAGCTCTAAGAATACTGGCAGCCAGGACTCTTCTAGCTGAGAAAACTGACCCAAAAGAAGAGATACAGACACTGAATATTAGGAATCCTCCAATGAAATGCCCAGATCCTAGCCTTTTCACAGTCACTGAAGCCACCATTCATTCATTCATTCATTCATTCATTCAACAAATACACACTGAGTGCTAATATCCCAAGCACTGCAGCAGGTGCAAAAGACACAACCACGAACAAAACAAAGACCCCAACCTCACAGAGCTTTCATTCTTCTGGAGAAAGACAACAAATAAATCTAAACAGCATACTGTACTGTCACATCGAGTGATGATAAGTCCATTGGAAACAAAAGCAGAGTAAGGCCGAGGTGGAAATTTTATAAAGGGTCATCAGGGAAAGCCTCTCGGATAAATTGCTTTTTGAGCCGAGATCTGAAAGAAGTGGGAGGAAAAAGCCAAGTGAACACTTAAGGGATATTCTCTCCAGGCAGAGGACACGGCAAGGGCAAAGGCCCTGAGGCAGCAATAATCCGGATATGACGGGAATGGCAGGGTGGCCAGTGCAGCTGGGACAAAAGAAGAAAGGGAGAAGGAGACAGGAGATGAGGTCAGAGAGACAGAATGAGTCCACATCACGCAGGCCTTGGAGAAGACACCATCAGCTCACCCAGAGCTCCCAATCAGGTTTTCCGTGTCTCACTTGTCCATGTGGAGGGACAGTCCACAGGGTCTAGACCTTTGAGGAAATCTTCTCGCATGAAAAACAGAGGCCAACACAAACCAAAAAACAGGGAGCCAAAGAAAACGTCTACGAAACCCTGATTAATTATCATAGACTTCAGCTCTAAGAAAAGAGCAGAGCAAATAAGCAAGACCTAAAAATAAATAAACCTAGAGCTGAAGAAGGCAATTAAATAAAATAGAATTAACTGATAAGCAGTACACTGGGTAGTGGTTCATTTATTTTAAAGTGCAGTCATGAACCACATAATGACATTTTAGTTAACAACAGGCAGCACATATGCCCATGGCCCTATGAGATTATAATGGAGCTGAAAAATTCCTGCAGCCTAGGGACATTACAGCCATCGTATCATCGTGGCACAATGCATTACTCACGTGCTTGTGATGCTGCTGGTGTAAACAAACCTACTGTGCTGCCAGGCCTATACAAGTATCACACTTAATTATGTACAGAAGGCTGGGTGCAGTGTCTCACACCTGTAATCCCAATACTTTGAGAGGCCAAGGAAGGAGGATTGCTTGAGGCCAGGAGTTCAAGGCCAATATAGTTCAAGACCTCCCACCTCAGCCTCCTGGATAGCTGGGACCACAGGTGTGTGTCACCATGCCTGGCTAATTTTTAAAAAATATTTTGTGGAGGCCGGGCGCGGTGGCTCAAGCCTGTAATCCCAGCACTTTGGGAGGCCGAGACGGGTGGATCACGAGGTCAGGAGATCGAGACCATCCTGGTGAACACAAGTGAAACCCCGTCTTCTACTAAAACTACAAAAAACTAGCCGGGCGGACGGGTGGCGGGCGCCTGTAGTCCCAGCTACTCCGGAGGCTGAGGCAGGGAATGGCGTGAACCCGGGATTGGGCGGAGCTTGGCAGTGCAGCTGAGATCCCGCCACTGCACTCCAGCCCTGGGTGACAGAGCCAGACTCCGTCTCAAAAAAAAAAAAAAAAAAAAAAAATATAATTATATATATATTATTTTTGTGGGACAGGGGTCTCACTATGTTGCCAGGCTGGAGTGCAGTGGCACAATCTCGGCTCACTGCACCTCGCCTCCCAGGTTCAAGTGATTCTCCTGCCTCAGCCTCCGAGCAGCTGGCACTGCAGGTGCACACCACCATGCCCAGCTAATTTTTGTATTTTTAGTAGAGGATGGAGTTTCACCATATTGGCCAGGTTGGTCTTGAACTCCTGACCTCGTGATCTGTGTCTGCCTCGGCCTCCAAAGTGTGGATTACAGGGCGTGAGCCACTGTGCCGGCCACAAAAAAAGTTTTTAAAAGTAAAAAAAAAAAAAAAAAGAAAAAAGAAAAAATTTAAAAATAGGAAAAAGCTTCTAGAATAAGAACATAAAGGAAAATATGTTTGTACAGCTGTACAATGTTATTTGTGCTTTCAGCTAAGTGTTATTACAAGAGTCACAAAGTTAAAAATTTTTTATAAAGTAAGTTACAATAAGCTAAGGTTCATTTATTATTGAAAAAAGAAAACATTTTTTAATGAATTTAGTATAGCCTAAGCGTCCAGTGTTTACAAAGCTTACAGGAGTGTGCAGTGCTGTCCGACGCCTTCCATTCACTCACCACTCACTCACTGACTCGCCCACAGCAACTTCCAGTCCTGCTCCATCCATAGGAAGTGCCCTGTACAGGTGGACCATCTTTTATCTTTATACTGTACTTTGTGCCTTTTCTATGCTTAGCCGTGTTTAGATACACAAATCTCTCCCATTGTGTTACAACTGCCTACAGTATTCAGTACAGTCACATGCTGTACAGGTTTGTGTCCTAGGAGGAACAGGCTATGCCATCTAGCCTAGGTGTATAGCAGGCTAGACCATCCAGGTTTGTGTGAGTACACTCTGTGATGTTCGTACAATGACGAAATCACCTAATGATAAGCTTCTTAGAACGCTTTCCTCTTGTTAAGGGCTGCCTGACTGTATACTTGAGTCTCAGAAAGACCGATAACATGCTGAGCTAGACACAGAGCATAAATATCACAAACATTGTGTGAAATTGGACAGTACCTGGGAGCAATCCAGCTCCAGGAGGGTCAGAAAACTGAAGCCAGAGTTTCAGGCTTCTTAGGCTTCCTGTGTTTCCACTTTGCTTTCCTTTGTTTTTTATTTTTTATTTTTTAATTTTGTTTGTAGAAACAAGGCCTTCCTGTGTTGCCCAGGCTGGTCTCGAACTCCTGTGCTCAAGCAATCCTCCTGCCTCAGCCTCCTAATCCCTTATTTTTTAGTAAGATTTTTTTTTTTTTTTAAGTTCTCACCAGTCTTAACCATGTTTAGGAGAGCTGTGGAAGGGGAGTTTTTTCTAACTGGTACAAAACGGCCTGGCGTTTTTTCTAAGCTTGCACGAAAATGCTTGCTATCATCATAACCATCATCATTATCATCATCTTCATCATCATCATCATCAAACAAAGCCATAACAGTAGGAACTGAACTGTGAGAGCATGCTGAAGGTAGAACTCAGGAGAACAGAGGCCTCAGTACTATATTAGCAGCTCCACCCTCTGGAGAATCTTCTTTCAGAGTTAGATCTTAGAGATCCTCATTTATATTTTATTTGTAAAGTCCAGCCTTCCTTTTCATTACCCCTGCTACATCTGCAGCCTGTTACACCTTACACTTTTTTTAAAGTGTAAAAAGTGTTGCTTTCTCCAGTGCAAAGCAGGAGATAGATAGACTCTCAGGAAAGAAGAGGTATGTAATTATTACATGCATTATCTCAATACTTCCATGGATAGGTAAGGACCTTGTAACTGATGAGAAATTGAGGTGCATAAAGATAAAATCACTTGTTCAAAGTAAGCGAGCTAGAGTTGGCAGAACAGGGATTTCATAGTCATCTGTATGACCCTCAAATTATGTTTTTAGTTACTAGATCACACTGTCTTCAGAGATTATTTACAGTCAATTCTTAAGAAATCCAACGTCTTAGTGCATCAACCTGTCGAGTAACTTACTGCAATTTTGTTATTCTTTTATCCTGAGAACTTGCGGTGATGATAATGGAGAACTCGGGTTGATGGATGGCTTCTGTCCCATATCCCCTCCTTTCTGCCGTCCTCCTCCCCGGTGCCTTCCCTCCTCCCCTCCTCTTCCTGCCCTACCGTTGCCCTCACTTACTTCCGTCTTCCTCCGCCCCGCCCGCGGTCCTCACTCTTCTTCCGTCCTTCCTCCTCTTCCTCGCCTCCTTCCGCGCCTCCCTCCTGCTCCTGACTCCTCCTTGCCTCGCCTCCTCTCCTCCTTCTTCCCTTCTCGCCAGCTGCAAATCAAGAAAGAGTAGTTGTGTAGCAACGGTT